GGCCCAGCTGGGCTCCCAGGATGGCGTGGTCTGGGCGGATGTCGAGGTCCTTGGAGAATGGGTCTCCGTGTCTGTCTCAGCGAACCCTGAGGGTGTGAGTGTGGATTTGGACACCCCAAAATATCCTCCCATTGAGGGGTGCTCCAGAGTAGCAGTGGATTGGCCTGAGTCAGTGGGGCCAGAGCTGAGTCCAGAGGTGGTGGTGGGCATGCTGGCCTGGGGCACTGCTGAGGTGGAGTTGGAGGTGGAGGATGAGAAGGAAAAGACAAGATTTGTCTGCCAGGTTGTGAGGCCCCAAGAGTTGGCTTTGTGGGCAGGTGTGCTGGCCCTCTGGATGTCCTTTGGGGTGGTAACAGTAAGAGGCATTGACCCCTGTGTCGGGGTGGCTGCTTCGTTGGTGTACTGGAGACTCTCCCTGGTGGAAGCAGGTGTGGAGAGGCTGTGTGTCCATGTGGATGGCAGCTGGGTAGAGCGGGAGATGGTGTCACTGCTGCTTTCCTTGGAGCTGGCGGAGCTGCTTTCCTTACCATCTGCAGTTCTGGGGGCAGAGGGCATCTCAGAGGCTCTGCTGGCTACAAGGCTGCTCCCTGAAGATATGGATCGGGGATCAGCAGGGGTGGCCAAGGAGGTGGCTGCCCCAGAGGAGGAGGCTGCTGTGACATAGGTGCCTGGGCCAGCCTGGAATGTGCCCGTGTGCCCGCCCGATGTGTGGATGGCTGTGTGTGCAGTTGAGCTGGTCTCTCCTGCTGCAGTGGTCAGGGCAGATACTGATGTCCCCAGGAAATGGTTCTCTGTGTTCGACTCAGGGACCCCCATGGATGTGGGTGTGGATTTGGAAACCCCAGAGTCCCCCACTGTTGAGTGAAGAGGAAGAGTAGTTGTGGATTGTCCTGAGGCAGAGGAGCCAGATGCCAGTGCAGAGGTGATGGTCTGCATGCTGGACCATGGGACTCCTAAGGAGGAGGAGGAGGAAGCGGAGAAGGCAGGACTTTTATGCCAGCCTGTGGAGCCCTGAGAGCTGGCACTGTGGGTATGTGAGCTTTCCCAAAGGCTATCCATTGAGGTGGTCACAGTCTGTGGCATTGACTCCTGTGTCAGGGTTGCCGCCTTGCTGGTGGACTCAAGATTCTCCCTCGTGGACGCAGGCGTGGAGAGGCTGTGTGTCCCTGTGGTGGGAGGTTCAGTAGACAGGGAGATGGTGGCACTGCTGGTTCCAGTAGAGCTACTCTGCTGCACAGGTGCAGTGTTGGGGGCAGAGGAAGCCTCAGACGCTGTGCTGGACACAGGGCTGCTCCCTGAGGGTGTGGGGCTTGGAGCAGCAGGAGCAACAGGGTTGGTGGTGGCTGCAGAGGCTGTGCTCGGCGAGGGACCTGGCGTATGGAGAGCAGTGGGCATAACCTGAATCCGGGTCATCTGAGGGATGCTCGTCGCTCCTGCAGATTCTGTCCAAGATGTGGAGGAAGCTGTCCTTCTGCTGATGGCTCCAGTGTGTGTGATTTCAGATGTGGTGGACTGGTTGGGCCCCACATGGGAGGCCGTTGTGAGGTCCATGTCTGGGCCAGCCTGGGCAGAACCCGTGTGTCCGCCTGGTGTGTGGATGGCTGTGTGCCCAGCGGAGCTGGTCTGCCCTGCTGGCATGTTCGAGGAAGAAGCCAAGGTCCATGGGGAATGGGCCCCTGTGTCCACCACAGAGACCCCCGTTAATGTGGGTGTGGATTTGGACACCATAGATTCCTCTGTGTTTGTTGGAAGCAGCACAGTAGCGATGGATTTTCCCGAGGTGTCGGTCTGCATGCTGGACTTGGGTACTGTTGAGGAGGAGGAGGAAGAGGAGGAGGAGGTGGTGGAGGAAGAGGAGGAGGAGGTGGTGGAGGAGGCAGGATTTGTCTGCCAGGCTGTGGGGCCTTGAGAGCTCACCTCCTGGGAAGGTGTGCTGGTCCCCAGGCTGTCCTTTGATTTGGTCACAGTTGGTGGCATTGACCCCAGTTGCAGTGTGGCCGCTTTGCTGGTGGACTGGAGACTCTCCCTGGTGGAAGCAGGCGTGGAGAGGCTGTGTGTCCATGTGGTTGGAGGCTGGGTAGAGGGGTAGATGGTGTCACTGCTGGTTTTTGTGGAGCTTTCAGAGCTGCTTCTCTGCTCAGGCCCAGTGCTGGGGGCAGAGGGCACCTCAGAGGCTGTGCTGGCCACAAGGCTGCTCCCTGAGGGTGTGGAGCTGGGAGCAGCAGGGGTGGCTGCGGAGGTGGCTGCTCCCGAGGAGTAGGATCCTGTGACACCCATGTCTGGACCAGTCTGGGCGGTGCCCGTGTGCCTGCCCAATGTGTGGATGGCTGTGTGTGCAGTCAAGCTGGTGTGCCCTGCTGTTGTGGTCTGGGCAGAAGCCGAGGTCTTCAGGAAATGTGGCTCCATGTCCGACTCAGAGACCGCAGTGGATGTGGGTATGGATTTGGACACCCTGGAATGCCCCGTGGTCGAGGGGTGAGGCAGAGTAGTGGTGGATTGGCCTGAGGGCGAGGAGCTGGATTCCAGTCCAGAGGTGGTGGTCTGCATGCTGGACCATGTTACTCCTAAGGAGGAGGAGGAGGAGGCAGGTTTTGAATGCCAGGCTGTGGAGCCCCAAGAGCTCGCCTTGTGGGCCATTGTGCTGGTCCCCAGGCTGTCCATTAAGGTGGTCGCAGCCTGTTGCACTGATGCCTGTGTTGGGGTGGCAGCCTCACTGGTGGACTGGAGACTCTCCCTGGTGGAAGCAGGCGTGGAGAGGCTGTGTGTCCATGTGGTGGGAGGTTTGGTGGAGGGGGAGCTGGTGGCACCTCTGGTTCCTGGGGAGCTGGCAGGGCTGCTTTCCTGCACAGGTGCAGTGCTGGGGGTAGAGGACACCTCAGTGCCTGTGCTGGACACAGGGCTGCTCCCTGGGGTTGTGGAACTGGGAGCAGCAGGAGTGGTTGGGGAGGTGCTGGCTCCTGATGCTGTGGTGGTGGGGGGACCCCCGTTGTGGACGGCATTCTGCGAGTCCTGAGTCAGGGTTGTTTGGGGGAAGCTGTTTATTCCTGCAGATCCTGGCCCTGATGGGGAAGAAGCTGTCCTTCCACTGGTGGATGCAGTGATGGAGGACCACTGAGGCTCGGCATGGGATGTTCTGCCAGAGGAGGGGACTGCTGTGACATTGGTGTCTGGGTCAGCCTGGGCTGTGCCCCTTGTCCTGCCAGATGTGTGGGTGGCTGTGTGCCCAGCCAAGCTGGTCTCACCCGTAGGTGATGTCTGGGCAGATGCCGAGGTCTTAGGGGAATGGGTCTGCGCGGCCTTCTCCGAGAGCATGGAGGATGTGGCTGTGGATTTAGACACCATGGAAACTCCTGCGATTGAGGGGTGCGCTAGAGGAGTACTGGATTGTCCTGAAGCAGTGGGGAGGAATTCCAGGCCAGAGGTGCTGGTCTGCATGCTGGACCGTGGGACTGTTGAGTTGGAGGAGGAAGTGGAGGAGGAAGAGGCAGGATTCGTTTGCCAGGCTCTGGGTCCCCGAGAGCTGGCTTCGTGGTAAGGTGTGCTGGCCCCCAGGCTGTCCACTGAGGTGGTCACAGTCTGTGGCATTGACACCCGTGTCTGGGTGGCAGCCTCGCTGGTGGACTGGAGACTCTCCCTGGTTGAAGCAGGCCTGTAGAGGCTGTATCTCCTTGCATTGGAATTTTTGGTGGAGGGGGAGCTGATGGCACCAGTGATTCCCATAGCTGTGGTGGTGGCAGGACCTGGGATGCGGAGAGCAGTGGGGGAGACCTGAGTCAGTATCATTTGGGAGATGCTGCTCATGCCTGCAGATTCTGGCCCTGATGGTGTGGAAGGCATCTTTCCACTGGTGGCTCCAGTGTGTGTGGACTCTGAGGTGGTGGACCAGTCAGGCCCCACATAGGACGTGGGGCCTGAGGACGGTGCTGCTGTGACACTGGTGCCTGGGCCAGCCCGGGCAGAGCCCATGTGCCCAGCCGAGCTGGTCTCCCCTGCTGGCGTGCTCTGGGCAGGTCCCGAGGTCCTCGGAGAATGGGTCTCCGTGTCTGTCTTAGAGATCCCCGAAGATGTGGGTGTGGATTTGGACACCCCCGAATCCCCCGTGGTTGAGGTGTGTGCAAGAATAGCAGTGGATTGGCCTGAGTCTGTTGGGCTGGATTCCAGTCCCGTGGTGGTAATTTGCATGCTGGAACGGGGCACCGCTGAGGAAGTAGAGAAAGAGAAAGAGGAGGAGGAGGAAGATGAGGAGGAGGAGGAGGAGGAGGAGGAGGCAGGTGGAGTTGTCTCCCAGAATCTGGGAACCCAGGAGCTGGCCTCATGGGCAGGTGTGCTGGCCCCCAGGCTGTCCCTTGATTTGGTCACAGTCGGTGGAAATGACCCCTGTGTCGAGGTGGAAACTGATGTGGTGGACTGGAGATTCCCCCTGGAGGAAGCAGGCATGGAGAGGCTGTGTGTCCTCTCGCTGGGAGGTTCGGTATTCAGGGAGCTGGTGGCACTGGCAGTTCCCAAGGATGTGGAGGTGGGAGGTCCCAGAGTGTGGAGAGCATTCGGAGAGACCTGATTTGGGGCTGTTTGGGGAATGCTGGTCAGTCCTGTGGATTCTGTCCTTCTGCTGCTGGCTCTGGTGTGTGTGGTCTCAGAGATGGTTGACCAGTAGGGCCGCGTATCAGACATTTTCCCTGAGGAGGTTGCCGCTGTAATGTCGATGCCTGGGCAAGCTTGAGTCATGCCCAAGTTCCCGAGAGAATTGTGGATGGCCGTGTGCCCAGCCGAGCTGGTCTCCCCTGCGGGCATGGTCTGGGCAGATGTTGAGGATCCTGGGGAATGGGTGTCCATCTCTGTCTCAGAGACCCCTGAGGACGTAGGTGTGGGTTTGGACACCCCAGAGTCCCCCGTGGTTGGGGTGTGCACCAGAGTAGCAGTAGATTGGCCTGAGGCAGAGGGCCCAGATTCCAGTCCAGTTGTGGTGGTCTGCACACTGGACTGGGGTACTGCTGAGGTGGAGTTGGAGGCCAAGGATGAGAAGGAGGAGGCAGAATTTGTGTGCCAGGCTGTGGGGCTCAGAGAGCTGGCTTCCTGGGCAGGTGTGCTGGGCCCTTGGCTGTCTGTTGAGGTGGTAACAGTCAGGGGTATTGACTCTTGTGTCAGGGTGGCCACTTCACTGGTGGACTGGAGACTTGCCCTGGTGGACGCAGGTGTGGAGAGGCTGTGTGTCCATGTGGTGGGAGGTTCAGTGGAGGGGGAGCTGGTGGCACCGCTGGTTCCTGGGGAGCTGGCAGGGCTGCTTTCCTGCACAGGCACAGTGCTGGGGGCAGAGGACGCCTCAGAGGCTGTGCTGGACACAGGGCTGCTCCCTGAAGGTGTGGAGCTGGGAGCAGCAGGGTTGGCCGGGGAGGTGGTGGCCCCCGAGTTGTTGGAGGTGAGGGGACCTGTGGTGCGGAGAGCAGTCGGAGAGACCTGAGTCAGTGTCGTTAGGGGCATGCTGCTCTGGCCTGTAGATTCTGGCCCTGATGGGGAAGAAGCTATCCTTCCATTGGTGGCTCCAGTGTGCGTGGACTCTGAGGTTGTTGACCCATCAGTCCCAGTATGGGACGTTGGCCCTGAGGAGGGGTTTGCTGTTACATCAGTGCCTGGACCAGTGTGGTTCATCCCCATGTGCCCGCCAGACGTGTGGATGGCTGTGTGCCCAGCTGAGCTGGTCTTCCCTGCCATTGTGGCTTTGGAAGATGCTGACGTTCCCGGTGAATTGGTCTCCATGTCTGTGTCAGAGAACCCTGAGGATGTGGCTATGGATTTGGACACCCCGGAGTGCCCTGTGGTTGAGGGGTGCCCCAGAGTAGTGGTGGGTTGTCCTGAGGCTGTGGGTCTGGATTCCAGTCCAGAGGTGGTGGTCTGCATGCTGGACTGGGGCACCACTGGGGAGGAGGACGAGGAGGAGGAGGAGGAGCCAGGATTTGTCTGCCAGGTAGTGGGGCCTGGAGAGCTGGCCCTCAGGCTGTCCTCTGAGGTGGTCACAGTCCACGGCATTGATTCCCATGTCGGTGTGACTGGCTTTATGGTGGTCCTGTTACTCTCCCCCAAGGAATGGGTGATATTATTTAGGTTTTTCTGCATGGTAGAAAACTCAGTAGGCGAACTTCTCTGAATTTTGCCATTTGTGCTTTCCGCCTTCGTTATTTCTGTAATTGTCCAGAATCATCAGTTAGCTTGGATGGGCACTTTTCAGGGATTGCCATACGGTTAATCTGCTTGGTGGCTTTTTTCTTTTACTTTCTAGTACCTTATTTTTTTTCCCCCTTCAATGTTTACTTTTCTCTGTATTCATGTTGATTTTAGAATTTGGTGTACCATTTATCCCTGAAAATCTAGTGGCTTTTGGCTAAGAGCCACTAAGTTCAACTTCCAAATATCTATTCTAGGAAAATCTGAGTGGCAATTTTTCAAATAACTGTGAATGAAATTACAGTGAAACCGGCGGGTTCCTGTTGCTCTAGAATTTCTTTTGCTTCATAGGGCTGTTTGCTGTGATTATTTCAGTCAGTATAATGGTTTAAATACAAATATTTCATATTTATCTTCCTTTCCTGACAGAGAAGTCCTAAATCTCCTTAATCTCATAGGTGGTCAAGGAAAAGTAGTATCGTTCTGTTCTGTAGTGTTGGGCCTTGGTCCTCAGTGATTCAATCAATCAATCAAGAGAGGGGATAGGGACTGACTCGTGTATGTATGACCATTGATTTCATCAGTTATGCCCCTGGTATGGAGCCTCTATAAAAAAACATTAAACCATGGGATTTAGAGAGCTTGTGGTGTGGTGAAGAAAACTCTGTCCAGGGACAGTCATCTGCGCAGAGAGGGAGTGGAGACTCCACACCCCGTCCTGACTATTTTGCCTGCCTCTTCCATTTGATTCCTCTTCTGTTGTGACTTTTAGAATCAACTCATAATGGAAAGGAAACTGTCTTTCTGAGTTCTGTGAGATGTTCCAGAAAATTATCAAGCACGAGGAGAGCATGGCGAGAGCCCCCGGCTTATAGCCTGCTGATCAGAAGTGCAGCGGGACTTGTGGGGCCGAGCCCTTAACCTGTGTGGGGTCCGTGCTAACTCCAGGGGTTCGGTGTCAGGCAGTGGGCAAACCGTGGGATACCTACTTGATGTGTGCGGAGGACTGGGAGTTGCTTGGTTTGAGAAATCCATACCCTTGAATGTCAGAAGTGTTGTGGGTAAAGTAGACCTCCTAGTCACTGTTTCTGAATAGTTCTAGTGGGATGAAAGGCTGTGCGGGGCACTTCATAAATTTGCTTTCTCTTTTTGTCAGTGACATTTGCCCCACTTTAGCAAGGGGAAAGTGAGGGACAGAGAGTCAAACTCACTTTGAATTGTAGCCAATGACGAGCAAAATCAGCTCCCAGGGTTTGAATGTAATTTGGACCTCGCAGGGGCTCATGTGCTATAGGTTTAGTCCACAGGGTGGCGCTGTTGGCAGGTGGTTTAGAGGCAGATGGTTAGGCCTAGGGGGTACCTTGCAAGAGATTAACGTGCTTGTCAAAGGATGCTAACTCGCTCCTAGAAGGGATCTATAAAGCTAGTCCATCCGGCATACTTGGCCTCTTTTGCTCCTGGCTGGTTCCCTTTCTGTTTCTCTGTCATCTTGTAACACAGTCAAGTGGGGCCTTCACGGGAGGACTGACAGATGGGACCACCTAATCTTGGACATTCAGCCTCAAAAAAGTAATAAAATGACCCTCTCTTATTCATACATATCCAGCTTTAGCTATCCTGTTATACCAGTAGAAATGAGTCCGATATACCTGAATCTAGACCTGTGACTGTTGGATTCCATTTTGTCCACTACTGAATGTTACCAGCAACTAACATCTTTGCATGGCCCCACCCACCCTGTGTGTACCGTCTCTGCCACCGCCATCTTGGTTCTCCATTTCAGGCTCTCTTACCCAGAGAGTGGAGATCCCTGTCTTGTTTATAAGTTGTGAAAGGACAATCAGATATAAGGCCTTTCCATGAGGTCACCAGGCTCTGGGACTCTGGGGGACCTCATAGAATTTTCCTTTCCATAACCTAGGCAGCGATGGCTTGCATATAGAATGTAGGGCCTCAACAACTTTTCTGCAATGGTGATGCTACATCTATGGATGATTCCCAAGTTATGATGGTTCAACTTAGCAATTTTTCAAACTTACAATGGGGCAAGAATTTCAACTTCACAAATGATTCCATGGATAGCTATCCAGTAGAAATAACGATGCCAGTGATTCTGTAGAAATCGTGCTTGGAATTTTGAAGTTGAGCTTGCCCAGGTGAGTCATGTGTGGTGTCACGCTTCTCTGGCCACACTGCAGTGCCAGTGAGCCATGACATTGCCAGGATAAACAACCCACATTGTACTGTGTTGCTAAGCTATGATGTTTGGTAGGTTAGATGTACTAAGTGCATTTTCAATTTATGGTATTTGCAAGCTATAAAGGGTCTCCCGGGACATAACCCAGGGCCGAGAAAATCCACTATGAACTAAGAAACACTGATGCCTTGCTTGTTAACAACAATGATAACAGCTTTGATGAGATGATAAACATGAAATAGGAAAATATAAAAGCAAAAATGAAGCTGAGAATGATGATAAAGGACAATGAACCTGGGAAGTAAGGGGTCCCAGACACCCCAGCACAGACTTAAACAGAAGTGCAGCCACAGAACACGATTCCAGTTCCTCAGCTCAGGAGGAAGCTGTCCGGCACATAGCAGGAGGCAGAAGCTTATTCCTTGTGAGCCAAATAATGCTACAGAGTGTTTGCCCCTCACAGAGCGAGGTTGCTCCCCAGTATGGAGGGTCCTGAGCTGTCCCCTTTGGACCCCCATGTGGACGGGTTGTAAGCTTGAGATTGTTTGTTGGTGACGGTGATGGATGGTTCTATCTCCAGGGAACCTGAAAGATGGCGTAGGAGGGTGAGTCGTGCTTCCCAAAGGCCTGATTTTGGAGGAGGTAGGGAGTTGAGAGATGCCAGACACAGTGCCCGAGCCTATTTAGGGATAAGAGAAAGGCCCTGGCACAGACTGAGCAGCTCTTTCAAAAGGTATTTTGGAGATAAAGAAGGTTGCTATGGGATATGCAACAAAACTGAATGTTATTATAGAAGCCTCAGAAGGAGCTGAGGGCTGGTGTGTCCCAGGTCTCTTTGAGGAGGCTGAGGTGAGAAGAGAAGACATTTCTCCTGCTTTTGTGATGGGATAGCAGCTGGAGAAGTTTGGGTTTTGCTTTGGCCAGTGCAATTGAGATAGCACCCCCTAAGGTTATCAGAGCTTTTCATATCTTTGAGGAATAAGGTGATGGACCACTGCACCTCCCTGGGGGAGATTGTTTTAGCTTAGTGCAACAGATTCATGAGCACCTCCGATGTGCTAGGTACTGGGAGCAGCTGCACCTGGCAGTGTCTGCAGATATGTTTGTGGTCACAACCAGGTACACTATTGCCATCTAGGGTGCCCCTCAGCCTCCTGCTTGTATATGGGCAATTCTCTGTCCCCATAGAAAAGAATTATCTGGGCCGAAATATATTTCTGTTTGCACTGGGAGTGAGAAATCCCACTATAGTAAGATTGGCCCAGGCTAAAGCATCAGGGGCAGTTGCCATGGACACAAACAGATAGGAAACCGTTAGTGGGTTACAAGCAGCATGTGAAAAAAGGGAATAGAATAAAAGACATCAGGATGAGGCAAAAGAAGCAAGGGCTAGGTTATTTTACAACTGTGCTTTCAATGCAATCTTTCACTTAGGGAGGGAGAATAAAAATTTTGATATTCATGCACTTCATGGGAGCTATAGTTAAAAATAATATAATGTACATTTAAGAATCGATAAGTGGGGGCTGGGGATTTGACTCAGTGGTTCCACTATCTGCCTCACAAGCACAAGGGCCCAAGTTCTTTCCCCAGTACCCCTGTCCCCCCAAAAAAAGAGAGAATTGCTAAGAGAATGGATTTCTAAATGTTCATACGACTTTAAAAGAATGCATGTGACCCAAAAATCAATAGCCTTCTTGCACACAAATAACAGACTCACTGAGTGAGAAATTAGGGAAACAATTCCTTTCACAATAGCATCCAAAAAAGTGAAGTATCTAGGAATCAAACTCACAAAAGAAGCAAAAGACCTCTACACTGAAAACTACAGCACTCTGAAAAAAGAAATCAAAGAGGATATAAGAAAATGGAAAGATATCCCCTGCTCCTGGGTAGGAAGACTCAACATAGTGAAAATGGCCATACTACCAAAACTGCTATACAGATTCAATGCAATGCCAATTGAAATTCCAACACTATATTTCACAGAACTAGAAAAAAGAATCCAAAAATCCATTTGGAACCATAAGAGACCTAGAATAGCAAAAGCCATCTTAGGCAACAGACGCATGGCACCAGGTATTACAATTCCCAATTTGAAACTATACTACAAAGCCACTGTGATAAAATCAGCATGGTACTGGCAAAGAAACAGACCTGAGGATCAGTGGAAGAGATTAGAAGACACAAAAACAACTCCAGATGCACTCAGCTACATCATCTTTGACAAAACTGATCATCCCCATGGTAGGAAAGATAGACTCTTTAATAAATGGTGTTGGAAAAGCTGGATCTCAACCTGCAAAAGATTAAAACTAGGCCCTCATCTTTCACCATGCACTAAATTAAAATCCAAGTAGATTAAAGATCTAAATATTAAAACAGAAACACTAAACGT